GGGGGGGGGGGGGGGGGGGGGGTGCTGCTGCTTGCTTTGGCCGGGGCGTGGTGGCAACGCCGGGAAAGGCCAAGGAAAAAGTTTAAAGATCTGAGACCATAATATTGGTAATTTTACAAATTTAGTAGTAAGAATAATCAAATATGAAACTATCAAATCAAAATATATGTAATTTGCGGGGGTGCCAAATGCCTTTGGGGGGGGGGGGTGCAAATAATTTCTGGGGGTGCGCACCCCCCCGCCCCCCCAGAAAATCCGTGCCTGATCGAACCTATAGTTGCATTTTTCGCAACTGCTCCATGGTTAGCTCTAACAAATGTATAAAATTCACACTCGAAATTTCCATATACAAAACCATATACAATTAGTTATATCAGTTATATAAGATAAATAACCGCCCTGGTTATATGGAGTGTAGATTCCCAAAAATCTTGACATTTACGTATACAACTCTTATCAAATCCTATCTTTGCGTTTGACCTACTGTACACTGGTTGCCAGAGGTTCTCGTATCTTCCGCCCTATTCTCGCTCGTATTTACAAATTATGTAATTTATAATACGGCGGCACAAGAACCTCTGGAACCAGGGTACGTTTGACCTTAACTGTGGCTTGACCGGGTTCATGATATTCTCGTATTGTGGTAGTTTGCGGAGTTTGGCGCCAAATTTAAGAGTACAAGTATCGTCCATGGTAATACATTCCAGCGAGTCGATATAATGTCTGTTGCAATGCGAAAAGTTCCGTTTTTCGATAGTGTTATTCAATATCTTGCGTATCCACATTTATGACTATATAGTACTGTTATTTTCGTGCTATAGGTACTCAAGTTGTAGATTGGTTAATGTCCTGGTCATTTGTGACGGGCCGAATGGAAGGAATGCAAGTTGGTAGTAGCTTATTAGAACAAGGTCATTTGCAACCTGTTGGGTTGAGAAGTAGAAATTCTATGAAACAACGTGGCACAGACCGAGCAGGGACTGGAGAGAAGAATGTATTCTGTGATGCTGATAACGCCTTATATAGATTTGTAAGTCTTAATAATGCATGATTATTTAGTACAGTTTGAAATTGTTAAATGTATTTTCATGATCAGTCTTGTTATTCAAGACGCAAGGTATAGAAAGGTTTAGTTGACTGGAGATTGATAAACTCCCAAATAACAATGGCTACCGACAAAGTCTTGTTTTAACCTATCGTAAACTCTAACATTGGTTAGAAAAATTTACTGATGTTAAATGATTTAAAAAACCCAATAAAAGATTTGTTTATATAAAAAGTCCTAGGATTTTAGGAAATGTAATATTAACTCTGTATAACGTAATGCTGTATTAATATCTTCTTTATAATTCAAATGGTCAAAGTTGGTACCAATTCTGTTTTAGTCGGCGTTACGTCTTGCCAATAGTGAGTCATTTGAAGCAGAATTATCAGATGATTCCAGTGACAGCGAGGATTCGGATAAAGAGCAGCAGGTATACAGAGATACTCGTATTGTAGAAACTATAGTTAATGTTTGATATAGAAGTCTCTGTTCTAAGTCGTTTATTGGTTCATGGTTGTGTAATATATTATCGTACACACCGCTGTACTGTAAGGAGTAATATTGTGATTTGAAACATCGAAAGGTCTGTTGAAAAGGAATACCCGCGTTTTTTAAAAACTGTAAAATGACGGCGAATGTATGATGCAACTTTCAAACAATCCACTGTTTATTTATATTTATTTATAAAGTGAAATTTAACGCGAATGTTTATAGACATTTATTACCTTGGTATCAGGACAACGATACGGTACTGAGCACGAGAAGCCCAGGCTCTGTTTATGCCAGCATATAGGATTATCCGCCCGAGTATTTGCCTGCTCCCGCCTTGGTTAATGTTATGGCGGGTTTGACAAGTTTTAACTGAAAAAAGATCTCGGACTTACCATCTAGAAAACGTTACAAAACCATGCATCCTAATTTATTTTCGATCACCTCAGACTTTCACATATGAACTTAATGGGCCTGAACAACATTTGATTATTTCCGTTCCAGACTAAAAGTATTGAAGGAATTGTGGTAAAACAAGGCTTTCTTGTGAAGAAGGTATATTTTGCATTATTCTATATTGAGAAATATGTTCTTGTTATGACTTTCGCCATATTAAATTGTATATTTGTATATGTTTGTCATATAGGGTCACGTGCGTCATAATTGGAAAACAAGGAAGTTTGTTCTTTGTGAGCAGCCTGCTAAACTATATTACTGTAAACCTGCAAAGGTATGTAATATCGTGTATTACCAATGTTATAATAATGAATAGGATTGTTGAAAGTACTTTGCCAGTATTTCCCTAGTACCCTGTATAAGTCGGACTTTTGGCAACCAAAAGTCTGCATGCAGGTGTTTCTAAATAATAAAATCATGTAAAGCTGTAAATTTGCGGTTCATGGATAATATCTTCAAGAAGATTCCATTTGTTCTTAAAGGAATACCGAATGGTTTTCCGTGCAGGATTGCGTGATCCATGCACGAGGGATGTCGCGAGACTTTCGGAAAGCATAAGAATACTCGAGCCGCAGGCGAGTGTATTTTTACGCTTTCCGAAAGTAGAGCAACATCCCAAGTGTATGGATCATGCTATCCTGCTTGGAAAACCATTTGGCAATTGTTTTATAAAATAACTACAGTGAAACAATGATATTTTGAGAATCCCGCGAAAATCCCACTAAGGCATTTTAATTCCTCGTGCAGGATAGCCTGATCCTGCACGGCTATTGACCAATCAAATTGCGTGTTTCACTGCAGTTATTATATAAAGGGTTTTCCCAGTCTGTCTTCACATGCATTGATTTTCCCTAAAGTTTATTGTACACTTGCCGGTAGCAAGACCTCAGTCAGTCAAATTCACTAACATTGCTAGTTATCAAAGTATCACACCTTTGGTATATTACAAATGAGTTGACTGACTTTTATAACACCCATATTACCGTGATAGTGCTCAGTAATGGAGTGATCGAATCTTGTTTCTTGAATCCACTAATTCGAAAGTAACTCAAACATCATGATTATTCTTCATATCGTGCTCAAAAATTGATCATTACGAAACTGATTTTATTTTTAGCCGGATTGTCCAATAGGATGCATTGAGTTGAATGGAGCAATAATTGAGAAAATCACAGGAGAATCCGCTAATGGTATGTACAGCAGTCTATTGTGAAATGTTAGTGGAACAATGTAGCAGTCTTTAATGCAATCATACTCTAGTTGAGGATGGGTGCGTAGTGACGAACATGTTCAAACATTACAACTCTTACGTAAGTTATTATACATGCATGGTGTAATCTTTTCTCCATGATATTAAGTTCTAATATAGTTCTCTCAGTTCCGAACTGTTCCTCTTACATGTATATGGGTCATCTCCCATAGCCATAGGAGATTTCGTGCTCCCGACGAAACCAGAGTATATTTAGAATTTGAAAACGAAGAAAACTATGGCAACAGTGACGTTTGTCCAATTTAGGGTAAAAAATTTAGTATATATTAATATTTCTATATAATATGCAAACTTCTTCACAAGACGAACTATACTGTTCATAGATTTACCAAGATTAATAAACTTCACATTATTTATAGGTGAGAAGAAAACCAAACAGTTTTACGGTTATCGATTTAAAATACGAGCATGGAAGGGGTCAGAATATGTCTTACAAGCTAGTAGTAAGGAGGAATTAGAGGAATGGATATCAAAACTAAGCAGTGTTTGTAAAGTTTGATACTGTAATATCACTTGGTGTGCACTTGGGGGAAGGTTTATCGTAGACAGAATATTACGAAACGCCCAAAACCGGTCACGACATCTGCCAAGCAGATCAGTTGAAAACAATACACTCCACCCAGTCATGTTTTCGTGATCTGCCCAAAGAATAGATTATGTGTATGAAAATTATTGCCTGGACAGGATTGGACCTTACAGCCTCGGTTACTATAGCCTACTTGCAAGGCAACTCGGTGGAAAAGGAAGAAATTACGCAATAATTATCAAAGCATTGGTCCCAGAAAATATTTTTAGTTCCCAGAAAATATTTCTCCAAGAAAGAAAAATTGTAATAATTTAGATAAAAGGAGAAATTCAGAGGAAAATTTCACACCATGACCTCCGAAATGCAAATATAAGTGCAGCCATCTTTAATAATAGTGCGATAGTGTATAAATGTATAGACTATAGAATGATGTAACAGATGTTGTATGGCAAATGCATTTTCAGCCGATCTAGGACACCTGATTTTCAAAATTTTCTGGGGAGCATGGATCTCCCTGATAGTGTGCCCCCTAGTAGTGTCCTAGCCTTTTTGCCATCTGTATTTATCCTTAGGATCAACCTTGATGCATGCATGTTATCTAAATTAGTTTTATGTTATATAACTTATATTATAATATAGCATTTGTAAATTCTGAACGCTGAGTGGCTAAGAGCCGTGTTGATATAACTCAATGTCATCACGGAAACGTCGGAAAATTTCTTTCTTTATGTTTCTTTGTGCTATATTATAAAACAAATATAAAACATTTTTTCCGTATTGATATATAGTTATATCAACACTCGTGGAAATTGGGAAAACTCAAAATTGTGTGAAAACTCGAAATTGTGTTTCCACACAATTTCTCGTTTTCCCAATTTCCACTCGTGTTGACATAACTGTATATCAACACGGAAAATGTTGTATATTTGTTAATTTTAAGATTCTCAGTGACATATTTTTTCCTGTAAAATATAGCATGACATCCAGTTTGACAACTTGTTAGTGTCACACAGTTACAGTGTCTGAGTGTCGATTTACTTGATTATTTACAGAAAATTTTCAATGTTCTCTTGCGGTCCCAAAAAGTAAAATATTTTTTCCACCCCTGGCACGTTAAGGGTGACAGTACTTATGAAAACTTTGGTGTGTTGCACCAATTATCCCTCACAATCCTCTGCTTCCACCCTCTTGCTGCATAAAATTGTTCTGTCGTTTGTCACCGAGTTGACTGCAGAGGAGGCTACAAGATAGCTGGTAGTGTAAGTGCATGGTAACACATCGCTCACCGGAGAACGAACAAGCGCCTGGTTGAGGGATGTGCATTCTCCTAGCCGGCGATCAGCCCCTGGCTTCAAAATAGGCTGGTAAATACTAGTCGAAATATAGTTTTAAAAACGATTAGTAATTATTAGCAATGCAAAATAATATATTTGATAAATATAATTAAATGTAAATAGTTTAACTAGTGACAAAAATTAATTTTGTAAAAAAACAGTACAAATATATTCTATTAAAATATAATTTTGAAATACTTTATAACTTTTTACGAAACACATTTAACCTTTTCTATTAATATTCATGAAATGAGAAAAAATATCTGAGTGTAGACGTTTTAAAAACTACATCTACATGATGAAATATACCATCCTCGTCCCAAGGGCCGCCCGAGCTTGGGCCTGGGGACGAGGATGGAAGTATACATGATTCTCCAAATTCATCACCGTTTTGCCCTAGTCCCCCCCCCCCCCCCCCCCCCGCC